AATGAGATGTTTATCCTGTATTTGATTGTGTTTATCTGCAGTTAGTTACACGAATTCAAATATGGGATGAAATCGGATAGGGATGAAATCGGATAGGGATAAACGAGTTTAAGAGTTTTTAAGAGTTTTAAGAGTTTTTAAGAGTTTTAGCCAAATGCTTTATAATATAGTATAGATACTATAGATATTTTTAACAAAGTTAGTGACCAGAACCCACAAAATAAGAAAATATAAATCACATGAACGCTTCTATAATTATACAAGTTTAGAAATCTACAGTGTCATTTTGGGTAAACCATGGCGACCAAATATATAATTTATAGATTATAATATTATATTATATCTAAAAAATATAATATATATAATATTTTTTAATTATATATATATATATAAATTAATCTGATTAATGTAATATATATATAATAATAATAATAATAATAATAATGATAATAATAATAATAATAATAATAATAATAAATATATACATTAAAATGTTCTTTTTCTATAAATAGTGGTCGCTAAGGTTTCAAAATCATCATTTCAAGATTCAATAATATCGTGGCGGGTGTAAGAGAAATTAAGGTAGAGAGATGGAGATTGTCTGTGTAACAGGTGCAGGAGGTTATGTTGCTTCATGGGTCGTGAAGGAATTGTTAGTAAGAGGTTACTTTGTACACGGAACTGTTAGAGATCCAGGTACGCTAAGTTTCTTCTTCGTTGGTTTATCTTTTTTCTTTTATCAATCATTTAATTATTCTTGAGAATTTGGGCATCGTGGTTACAATCATTTCGATAAATTATTGGATCATGTATGAATTGCACTTTTCAAATACTATATTTCAACCGTTTACTGTTTTAGGTTTCATGAATTCAGTATATGGATAAAATAAGAATTTAACCTCGTATTTAAGACAAAAAAAAAACTTAGAGTACACCGATCACATCCTAGATAAATTGTTTTATATTTTTATATAAAAGATCAGACGGTTTGATGTAGTTAAACAATTAGTAAATAATTGCACACAGTTACAACTGCTTGTGGATAAGGTTGAAAAAGATCAGAGGCAAGCTGGAAAGCTTCGAGTCAGAAACAAATTCAGAAGTTTTGACTTTTGAGTCAAAACACTTGAAAGCCGAGTTAGAACCCTTCACGATCTGAAGCTTCTGAATCCATACTTAGTCTACAAAAGACATTCAATTCTAACCTTCTGAATTTAACTCATTATGTTCATCACCTCAAATTTCCTTAAGTAATCTTCATCATAAGTTTTTCATATTCACATTTTATGTTTAAGAATAGTAATTATTTTAGAATAAAAATAAAAACATGAGTAAATAACATTAATAATATAAAAAAGTACATGAAATAAATTACATGCAATTTAACAATAGATGAAGTAATTCTTCAAGTTTTTCTAATTTGCTTCAATTTTTTTACAATATAGAAAATAAGATAATAATATATATAATTATGGGGGGATTAAACAATGAACTTAATTGCGTAGGGCCATCTATCGGAGGGCGGTATACTATAGACGCATGTGCAGGACCCAAAAATATTAATGGCCAAATTTTTTTCCTTAGTATAGTAGCAGTCTAAAAAACAATACATTAAAGAGACTTAAAATGTTGTAATAGATATTAAGAGACAAAAAGGATTTAATAGATAATAAGAGCCCACAAATATATTAACATATTACACTGGAAAATAAAATCAAAAAATAAAAATAAAATTAATTTGGCTATTCATTATATGCTATTGCTTATTGCTTCTCCATTATCTTTTATTTGGTACCAAGGTCTGTTGCTATTGATTATTGTTATCTCTATATTTTGACTGTTTTCGTGCTTCAACAATTCAACGAACAGTGACTTTAAGCTAATATGTTTGCTATTGCTATATGTTTTGCATGTTGGATATCTTTATCTATTTTTGCTTGTATTGATATTGCCATTAATTTGCTTATGTTGTTTGTGCAATGGAAAAGTTCAAAAGAACCTAACAAACTTTTTCATTTTGAATGATTTAGTCCTAAACTTGTTTTCTAGATGAAAAACCATTAAACTTTCTCATTTTGATTGATATAGCCCTAACTACTTTTTTGAATGAAAAAAATCATCAAACTTTCTCTTTTTGGATAAAAAACCATGAAACCTTCTCATTTTGATTGATTAAGTTTATGAACATTTTTTTAATAAATAAATCACCTCACTTTTAAAAATTGGTCATCTACATCTTTTAACCCAAAAAAGTTACATTTACTGACTAGTAAAAGTTTGATAATTTATTTATTCTCTTAAAAAATTTTCTTAATCATTCAAAATGTGAAAGTTTAATTAGTTTTTTATTAAAAAAAATAGTTCAAGTACTTAATCATTTAAAATTAGAAAATTTAATAGTTTTTTCATTAAAAAAATAGTTTATGAACTAAACCATTCAAAATGGAAAAAAATTAGGTTTTTTTGGACTTTTCCCTTTGTGTAATAGCTTTTGTTGGCTATTGCTATTTATTTTTGCTTTTACATATAATACTATACGTGTTTCATGGTTTTGTGATTAATAAATAAATTTTCCGTACTAAATGTATTCAGTAATGCATCTTATATATGTGCATGTTCTACAAACTTTTAATCATAACATCTTATTTTAGTAGAGTAAGAAAAGAAGGAAAAAAATATTCAAATATTTTCATTAATTATTTTATGTCTATCTAATTGGGGTTCCACTACACATACCAAAAGATTCTATTTGAGTGCTTAAACAACTTTTCATTGAGCTTGCAGATTATAAATCTCATTCATTATTTATTCTTATATTGGATGGCAACGACTTATCTTTTCTTCCACATTCTTAATGATACTCATTTCTTTACTTGTTTAAAAAATCTTAATAATCTTCTCTACCATTGATCTCTGATCATTAACTCTCTCAATTACTTTCACTACAACAAAATCGGGTTTATATGACACTTCCAAATTGCAAGCGTTCTAATAGAACTCTTTATAAGACTTAGTTTATAGGACCAAAAAAATAAAGTGTCATATCTAATGGTGTTGTATTAAGTTTATATGACCTTTTTTGATGTCGTAATAAGTTTTTTAGGACACTTTTAATATAAAGCGTCCCATTATCAACTTTATATGACATTATTTGAAAAAATGTCCTATAAAAACAAGTGTCCTATAAAAAAATGAGTTTATAGGACAATTTCTCAAAAGTGTCATATAAAGTTGCTAATGCGACACTTTATATTAAAAATGTCCTTAAAAACTTGTTAAGACGCTCAAAAGTACTGTCGTATAAACTTATTACAACACCTCTAGATAGAACGCTTTATATTTTAGTCATATAAATTAAGTCATATAAAACGGTCTATTAGAACACTTAGAGATTGGGGGTGTCCTATAAATCCAATTTTGTTGTAGTGTTTCTCCACATGAGTTCTCTTTTTGTATCAAAATAATACAATATTTCTTGTTATGACCTGATAAAATTATAATCTTTTAAAAAAATTACCAATAATAGGAGATGGTCAAACTCTAATCTTTATTTTAAAACTTCAAAACCATCCCTATTTTTGTAACACAGTGTGCTCTTGGTTGCTAATCACCTAATAAGCAGTGCATAAATCTTAAATGCTTTCTTAATCATAATAAAGGAAAATAAAGATTTTCTTTGCTCCATGAATTATTGGACTATGTTTACTCACATATTTTCCGACTTAATCTCAATTAAAATATTACTTTCTTTCTCATCCACCTGTATAATCTCCAACTCCAACCTAATCTCACCTTTTTATTGTTCAATCGTGATCCAATCCAATCTGAAATATTGTTTTATAAAAATTATATATTTAATTTTTTTTTATCATATTTAATTATTATTTTTTTGTTTTAAGCAAAAAAAATAGATTAAACGGACCATTGCAAATTTTGAAACATTATTATAATAAAAAACTTAGCATACAATTAAAATTAAATAAAATAACAAAAATAAGTACAAACTTTCATATATGAGCTATCAGAATGTTGAGAGTTTAAAAAAATTGGGAAATATGGATCCATAGCAGAAAATTGAGAAAAACGGAAAATTTTGGAATTTACAAGATAATAAGAGTATTGAAATGAAAAAAAAGATTGATGTGATGAAAATATGTCAATATTGGACACTATTTATAGGGAATTAAAAAACATGTATTTTTGTATATTTGTTTAGTTTTTAACATTTTTGTTAAAGTATTTTTAATATTTTAACTTTAAAAAACTAAACTTAACCAATTACAACGTGACATTTGGAAAAAAGTCAGAAAGAAAAAGTTCACGATCCAGTTCATGTGGCGATCTGGTTCGTGAGAGAATGTGGTTTAACATTGTTTTTTTTAACTCAATTTTGTCTTATTCACAATCCCATTGGAGGGATTGCTCATTAAGACCGAGAGTAAAGATGGTCTTAGCATTTTCTTGTATTTAATTTTATTACATAATAAAAAAACATTTATTGAGTTTTTTTCCGTACTTATCGAAGGTATGATTTTATACACGTCCAGAGTCTATAAAATGTCAGGAACAAGCCTGCCTAAGGCTAAGTCCGACCTTGATTATGTGTCTCCAACGAGCAATGTTATTCAAATATTTGATGATGACTATAATCATGCATTTTTGGGTCTTTCTCAGATGATGAGAAAAAGAATGGTCATTTGAAAGAACTGAAGTACGCTCACGAGAGATTGCGTCTCTTCAAGGCAGACATGCTAGACTATGCAAGTCTTTGCACTGCTATGGATGGATGCACCGGGGTTGTGCATGTTGCCACACCCGTTCCTGCCGGTAAAATAGCCGATCCTCAGGCAAGTTTGTATTTTACTTGTCCCTTTTTTAATTTCAAGGTCATTAAGAATTTTTTTGACTGTTATCTTTAAGGTCTCATGGATTAGTCGAGATACGTACAAACTGCCACAAATGCCTAATTACGGAAAATTTGATTAGAACGAATAAATAGTGTGATTTCATACAACATCTGATATTTATGAAATTGTATGATTCCTTACGACATCTGATGATTGTGATGTTTTACTTGGTCTTTATTTTTCTAACATGTCAATTATAGCTCACTAATTGAGTAAGACCCGAATGTTGGAATTGAATGAAAAAAATGAGCTAGAAGTACGTGGTAACAATTAACAGATGTAAAAACTGCAAAGATTAAAAATTAATTTAAAGAGGCGGAATATAAAATTGTTTATGTCGTTATTTAAGAAAATATAAACTTTATGATTATACTTCTGAAGATTAATAATTTTTTAATTAAACCTTTTAATTTTAAATATTACAATTTTTAGCACTTATCAATCAGATATATTTAAAACCATGTCTAAGTGTCTAACATCCATTGTGAGATTAATTTTCTTATTATTTTAATTGTGATTAGAAATAATTGGTTCGTTTTGTCTAAACAGACAGAAATCCTTGAACCCGCAATAATAGGAACACGAAATGTAATGAATGCATGTCTGACGACTAAATTGAAGAAGGTGGTGGTTGTTTCATCTTTACTTGCTGTTGTAGCAAACCCGGGGTGGCCTAAGAATCAAGCAATGGATGAAAATTGTTGGTCTGATGTTGATTTTTGCATGAAGAATGAGAAGTGGTATTGTGCTGCCAAGACTACATCAGAGCGTGAAGCTTTAGAATTCGGAAAGAATAACAACCTCAAGGTTGTGACTGTTTGTCCGTCAATAGTTTTCGGACCAATGCTTCAATCGACAGTTTGTACCACTAACATCATTCTACTAAACCTCTTCAAAGGTGAGAACTCTTTCAATCTCATTGAGCTTGATAAAGCTGAAGAGGATACGTATATCCCTATTGTGGACGTTCGTGATTGTGCCAATGCATTACTACTTGCGTATGAAAAACCTGAAGCAGATGGAAGGTATATTTGTTCTTCACATATGTTGAAGACAAAAGCTTTGGTAGAACTGTTGAAGAGCTTGTTCCCTCATTATAACTATCCTACTGTGTATGTTTTGCTATTTGTTCTACCTAAATTACTTTATAAAGCCATTACAACCTAAATAATGATGCGAGTCTTGATTTTTTTTTTCTTATGACAGTTCTTGTGATTCAAATGAAGAGATGAACTACACATGTGAAAAGATGGTGAATCTTGGATGGAACTACATGCCGTTGGAGAAGACTTTGGTTGATTCTGTTAAAGCTATGCAAGATGCTGGTTTATTAAGCTGATTCTAAGACCCAAAATTTAAGAAAATTAAAAAAAATAAAAAAAAATACAATTGATTCTTGCTTAAATAGAGGAGGCGCACTTTGCATTTAATAAGAATACTTTTCCTCTCGGTGGGATCGCCAAAAACACCATTTTGAGCTTTGATCTCTCTCTTATTAAAGCTCTTAATAATAAGAATACTTTTCCTCTTGGTGTTCATAGTTCATGTTATCGCACTTATTTTATTTATAAACACTGGCTTGTATATTATAAATTGATCAAGAGTTTTCCATGCATCATTAATAATTCAACTTTCTCTAAGAAGTTGTTGTAATTTACAAAGGCTTGGAAGCACAACATGACTATACATGAACCTATGGGCCACAAGAGGTTTGGCCGCGCCTGAATTCGATACAGGGATAGATGAGATTTTCCACTATATCCACCAAGACTTAACCAGTGTGTCACAACCCAAGTGTTCTATTTTGGGATTTTTTTTGAGTTTGGATACTCAATTCATTTTGATTGAGGGGTTTTGATCTAGATAATATGAGATTTGCATTTTTTTGGTATTGGATACATAGAATTGGGTTTCGATGAGAAGGAAAGTTGTGATGGGAAGCGTAAGAAGATATCTCTATCATTGGATCAATCGTAATTGAATGTCAACACTAATGAGGTACACTGAGATGTACCAAATCAATTCCCTTCTAAAGCGCACTTCAACTGTGGGCATGAGATCAAAAGTTTGGATCTCTTCACACGCTTCTCACCATAACTTCCATTCTCACATGATTCTTCGTTTTGATACATATTTGTATAAATTTGTCAGTGTGACAATGGGAATGGTGGTATCTGAATGTATCTCTATTAGTTATATGGGATCTACTGTTTTTATTTTGTATACATATATATATTTGCAGAAATTTGTTGGTGTGACTATTACGATGACGATGGTGGTATTTGTATTAGTTTTGTTAACAATGTTTGGAGGTAGTGAGTGGTGGTTTGTGGTTGTAGTTCACCCGGTGGTATTTTAAAAGTTTTTTGTCGTTTTTTAATCATATAATAATTATTTTTATATAATTATTTTTTAGTCTATCAGTATATTTAGTTACAATGCAAAAAGCAAATGTATGTCATGCTTATTTAAAATTGTCCTTGATGCAATTTGAATGCAAATTTGCAAATGTGCCTAAAAAACAGAATTATAGTCCTGTTGCTAGGAATGGCCATGGGTTGGTTATTGTATTCCTGTCTTCGAAACATCGATAATTAAAACCGTTCTCGTAACCGCCATAATATCCATAGGGAATCTTATGGGGGATCCCCGTCGGGTCCTCACGGTTTATCCGATCCCCGATGGGGAACCCATTAAGGGTAAAAATCCCATTTTTCTCGTTGGTTTTTCCGTTTACCGTTGGTCATACCCTAAACTTGAAACCCGAACCGATCTGAAAAAAGTTACAATATGTTAAATTTCACAACTAAAAGTAAATTATAATTTTTTTAAAGATGTACATTTAAATGTCTCAAACATAATCAAACAAACATCGTCTTATATTACAATATAAAAGTAAAGAGAAATTCAAACATCATATAACTAACATCACGAACTTGACTTTTTCGTGAGCTTTATTTGCTGTATTGAGGTAAATTGGATAAAAAGTCTATTAAATTTTAATGTTAGTATATTCTTTTAATGATATTATATATATATATATATATATATATATATATATGTGTGTGTTGTATGTATATAAATTAAAATTAAGATATATTCAGATCTTGGGCCGGTGATCAGAGCCCCCGTCCCCGTCCCCGTCCCCTTTAAAATCCCCGAATATGTCCTTGATCCCTGTCCCATCCCGATAAGATGTCTCCGAAACCGAACCGAAAATTCCAATTTTCTGTTTCGGTTTTTTTCCGTCCGTACCTGCCGCCGAGTTTTTTATACACACAAAAGCTGCTGTGTTCACCTTCTCAAATTCAACAACATCCTGCATGCATGCTTAAGTATGGGTTTCTTAAAATTAAGTTTGGATTACTTCATATATCCTTGAAAAAGATATGTATCCAATCAAGTTTTTGAAGTTATACGTATTCTTTCAATTCATGATTCATGATTTCATCAACTTATGCAATTTTCTCTTTGAAAGACAAGCAATAATTTAATAACAAAAAGAAACACAAAATTAACAAGAGAGACCCACCCAAACAACACCCACCAGCTAAGAACAGCAACAGCTTACCACATTAAGTTATGCAAATTAAAAACACCGAAACTCAAATCTCAGTTCATGTTTTGACTTCTTTTAGTTAATCTCACCTTGAGACCATGCTTCATCTGAAGTACCATAGAATTGGCTGGAAGCACGGGATGACTTTCCAGTACCAACTCGATATGGTAATGGTAAATGATCGTAGCTGACACTATCTTCAGCTGAGATAAAGACATGTTCTTACCCACACATGTTCTTGGACCAGCACCAAATGTCGTGAATTTGTTAGTTGCCTCATGTTTGATTCCTCCACTATTCGTAACCCACCTTTCGGGCTTAAACTCCATACAGTCCTCACCCCATACTGATTTCATCCTTCCCATGGAATACATACAAAGAATGATTTTGGTGTTTTGATCCACTTTGTGGCCACTTGGAAGGATGTCTGGTTGTAATGGAGATYTGTGGTTAAATGGAACAGGAGGAAAAAGCCTTAAAGATTCACATAAAGCTCCGTGCAGGTAAACCATGTCATTTAACTCTCCTGCTTTCCATCTCTCACCCACTTTTATCTCCAAATGTGTGTGAATCTCTTCCAGAATCTTATCTTCCACGCTTGGGTTTTCCGCAAGCATATAAAAGAACCAACACAGGGTGCTGCTCGTAGTCTCTTTTCCTGCAATCAGCATATTAAAAAAAGTGTCTCTTAGAAATTTTGTTCGATCCCAACAAGTGCCAATCTCATGAACTTCGAGCTCTCTCATGAGAGCCGTGTAAAATATGAACTTTCCCTCCTGGTGAGAAGAGTTGATGTTCAHGTACKCATTTTGGTTTTGAGCTAAGCATTTRTATATGAAYTGATCAAGAGTTTTCCATGCATCACTCAACTTCTTCTCTTTCCCTACTCTAAGAAGCTGTAGCAATTTCCAAAGGCATGGAGGCGTAAAATGCCTGTGGAAGATAGCTTCTTCAGCATCTGTCAAGGCCTCGAGACACAGGATGTTAGGAAAATCAAGAGACAAGCTTCCAAGTTCGTTATCAAAGAATACCTTGCATATGGTGTCAAAAGAGAACCTTTGAAATATTTCTTGCAAATCCACCTCAGTGCCATGTTCACAGATGGATTCAAGTATGGGTAGAAGCTCGTTTTCCACTTTGTTCCAGGTTATCGTTTCCATCAAACTTCGAAATCCTGCATGCCTCAGTACAGACATGGCGACCTTTCGGTGGATCTCCCATAACTTGCCGTCAGAATTCAGGATTCCATCTCCCAGGATCGCGAAAATCTTGAAATACTTGTCACCTTTAGGATAATTGCTGAAGTTTTTGCTTAGAATGTGGTGGAAATCTGCAGGATTGGCGGTAACGAGCATGTCCAAGTTGGCGAAGCAAGGGCCTCGAACCATGAGCGTACCACCATTTTCTATCATTCCTTCGGTGCAGAAATCATGGAGTCGATGGATGTTTCCAAGAACACCTGGTATCATGCCAACAAGTGGCCAATTTGTAAAGATTAAAGTTGTGCGGTTTTGATGTCGTCTGTATATAAATATTAAAAACAATATCGGAATAAACATTAAGGAGATAATGAGGGAGTATTCAAGGAAGGTCATGGGAGAAGATGGTAGGAAAGAGGTGAGTTTATGTTTAATAGAGTGCATGGTCGTTGGTCCTTTAAATAGCACACAAACTTAATTTCTAGGTACAACCGTATCGTCATTTGTAAAATGGTTCATACCAACAATCATCGGAAGGGTGTTACAAGTTATGCCACGGTAATCCTGTTAAGTTGCTACCGTAAGACATGAACTCTAATACGACACATTTGTTCTGGACTCCTAAAATCGAAACCAGATAGGATTGGATCTCAACCATATATAGCTTCGAAATATGATTGTCCAGAAACAAAAGGGAATCACATATACGGTAGAAATCTCATGTATAAATAGAAGTTCATATGCATCCGAGTCCAAACTAATGATATCACGTTACGTCTTGCTTCTCAACGTTAGTTGTCTATATTTTTCTTTTTGTTTGATTGTTGCATTTATATCACACTTGAAACTTCACAGCAAAACGTTGTGAAGGTAACCTTCACAGCAAGGACGGACCCAAATTTTTTTTAAACGGTGGCACCATTTGACCATCAGAAAAAAAATATATAATTTTTTTTTTCAAACGATGACACCGTTTGACTATAAGAAACAAATATACGGAATTTTTTTTCAAACGATGATACCGTTTGACTAAGAAAATGACACTAACATGATTCGGACTTGGGTATGGGGTGGAATAAAAGTCTTGCAAACTAACTCTACCAAATAAAACTTGTTCTCATTGTAGTTTTAAAATACATACGGTGGCACACAACAAATTAATACGGTTGCACTATTCAAGAAACCTAATTTTTTTACCATTCGGCGGAAAAATAATACGGTGGCACGTGCCACCTATACCACATACATAGGTCGGTCCATGCTTCATAGTGTTTTTCCTGTGAAGATTCGGCTTTACCTTCACATCGTTTTGCTATAAAGTTTCAAGTGTAAAAAAATGATTTTACGGGTCTCACAAAAAATAGATGGGTCTCACTTGAACCTAATCTTATGTATATTAATCCGTTACTCATAATTAATCATAAAAATTATTTCGTTTAAGCATAAGTTTTAAATTTTATTTATTCAGGAAGAGTTGCATTGATATTTAATTTTGTTTTACTGTAAAAATTTACAGTTGCGATATTTCAAAGATACACAGTCACTTTATTATAAAAGATATTTATGGACTGCTTGGTTACTTTTTAATGGTTCAATTAAGAGACAACCTCTGAATCGCTAAACAATGAATATTTTTTGGCAAAAAAATGTCTGCATTTTAATGGTTCTAAAATTCTCTGAATGATTTTGTATTATGGGTCTTCCTTAACCATTCACCACCCTAATTCTATTGTAAACAATTACTGAAGAATTATATTTCATTTTGCACTATATCATGAGAGCCTCTTAATCATTCTGCACGAAATCATTCGGCAACTTCTTGGTTTTCGATTTATTAATTATATGATAATATATATTTTCTGTATTAAATTAAATTCCTTTTGATTTTAGGTTTACTGGGAAAACGTGAGATTTAAACCTGTACAACGTCTCACACATTTGATTGAATTTTTTTTTGGAAAAACGGAAAAAAAAAATCCCCATTTCCCCGTTGGGGATCCCCGTTTCCTATTGGGGACGGGGATGGGGGTGTGATCAAATTCTCCGACAAGGATGGGGACAAGGACGGGGATTGGGGTCCCCGCCTCATTACCATGCATACTCCGGATAGCTGGACCAAAACCCGTTGCCTTACCACTTGGTTACGCCCCATTTATATTTTTATTGGATATTAATACCCATAAAGAATAATATTGATATTAAAAGTTCGTCAATTCCAATCCAATTATCTATAGAAAATATTTATTCTTTACAGAATACATTATAGATTGATGCTAGAATTTTGACATGTGTATATCTAGAATTCAACTGAATTACTCATTATATATAATTCAATTAAGATATTTTATGAAAGTATGATTTCTTGTATTCTCCTTTGAGAATTGGATATTTTTTATTGGTGGAAAAAGACGATTTTTTTGTCTACCTTACTTTATTAATTTTTCCATATATCAATAACTTAATCAAAATGCCATTATCTCGACGAACAAAAGGTCTGTTATGCATAATATCTTTAGTTTGACCTGTCTTAATTCTGTCATTTACCTGAGTAGTATTTTCTTCACCAAATTGCCCAAATCCTATGCTTTTATGAATCCAATCCTAGATGTTATGCTAGTAATACCCATGTTTTTTTCTTTCTTTTAACCTTTGTTTGGCAAACTGATTATCAAGTGAGACCACCAATAGAAAACTTTGAAAATAAATATTTAGAGAGAATAACAATATTTTAATAGATAATTGAAATATTTTAATATTATAATCAATCTTGGCTTCTCTAAAGTGAGGAATCTGTAGGAGATGAATGTAATTTTTTTTTTTTGAAGATTTTGACTTTTAGTTCTCCATTTGGAAGAAATTTTTGGGAATATATTGGAGATGCTCTAAGTTTCCAATAAGATCTTTAATACCATCCTAGAAAATTCATGATTTATTCAAGAAAAATTATAACAATTGATAAGATCAAATAAATCTGACAATATGAACCTTCCATTAGAACATTGGTTTTCTTAGATAGCTGCGAGAAATCCAGTTCGCCATATTTCCCGATTCTAACCCTTTTCCCGACGAAAGACCTTATTAGGTTAGGGTCCCTTACAATCTGAAAGTGATTTGTGGTAATCAAAGACTTGGTACAAATTTCAACTTCATTTAAATTTCTATACATTCTTTTCTATTTCTAGAATTCATTTCTTGGTGTCGGAATAGGATATGTGATATAAAAATGGATGATCTATCATCTTTTCTCGTTTTTCTTTTTCAAAAAATGATCTCGGAGGTTGTGTAATGCTTACTCTCACATTTTTCGTTTACATAGTAGTAATATCCAGTGTTTCACTCTTCATCTTTGGATTTCTATCAGACGATTTAGGATGTGAAGAATAAAATAAATTTTTTGTTTTGTGAAGAATAAAATAAATTTTTTGTTATTTCTTACTTTATTTTACAATTATTTTTGTTTATATCAATAGGTCGTTGAAATGCAACCAATTGAATCTGGGTTGGGGCATTTTCTCCTTCTCCAACGTGTCGGTGCTTGATCGGTGTTGGATTCCTTTAACGTTGTCTTGTAGAATAACAATTTTTTGTTGCCATCTTTTGAAATTGGAATCCTTGCAATGCGAATATTTTTTATATGTCTGTGAAACAAAAAATACAATTAAAAAGTTTCACATTGTGAAACGAATACATATGAAACAAATTCTTTGTGAAACAAATTCTTTGTGAAACAAATATATGTTAATCAATACATTAATGCAAGTCATAGATAAAAAAAAATACGTAATATAACATACGATGCACCTGTAAGATTATTAGGTTTTCGAATATTTAACCCCTTTGAAGCTTTGAATATCCCTCTATGGTTTGAATATTTTTCTTGTCTTTGGTTTCATTTTATTTTAAGCATTTGACTGCTTTGATGGCGATAACATAAAAGCATTTGCAGGTGGTCGCTTTGGAATTAACCGACTCACTAGAGAGAGCGGTCACAGTTGCTTCCATATTTTTAGCCATTCCCTAAACATAATGTACATTTTTCATGTATGTTCCTGTTTTTTAGAGTTGGTGGCAATAGCTTAGAGAAGTCATAGTTGTTTCCATATTTTTAGCCATTCCCTAAGTATAATGGACATTATACATGCATGTTCCTGATTTTCAAACTCAGGAGTGTCTGATTCTTTCATCTATCAGGGCTGTATCTATTAAGTTATTTTTAAACATTAATTTGGCTGTATGAATTAAAATAAATTGTTATTTTATTTTTTTTGTCTTAATAATTAGTCTAAATAATATAAATTATAATTTCAACCTTATGTCTATATAAGTGTTGAATGAAGATGAATTGTATAATAAATATTTTAAATGACAAAAAATTCAATTATTTAAAATAATAAAAACAATATAAATTAGTAAACTATTTTTTAATGAGACGTCGATTAAAAATTATAGGATAAGGGTAATTTTGGATAAAAAGTTCTAATTTAATGCATTAAAATAGGATGACTAACTTAACATGTTAAGTCAATATCTTAGCATTAATTTAAAATCAAACATTTTAATATAACTTAACCAATTAAGTTAACCACTTATTAAACTTATTACTTTGAAAACAAACACCCCTTAGTGGCAATAGCTTAGTTTCATTGGTAGTAGAAGTGATCGTTTGTGGACTTGGATCGGGCTTAACATAATTTTCGTCCGATGGGCGTAATATAGCAAACTCTAGCCCGTTTTTAAGGGCTTATGGATTTGCCCGCACCGCCTTATAAACAAGCCGGGCTTATCCACGAGCTAACGAGCTTTTTCTTAATTTGAAAAAAAAAGCTTATACAAAGTCGTAGGTTATATAAAATCATTTAAATTACATAACTTCTTCCCAACGCAAAATAACAAAAAAAAGATACCAATGTATATAACGTATGAAAAAATAGTCTTACAATACACGGAGTATGAACATTTTCTTTCCAATGATTTAAACGTTTAAAGTCCGGGTTTTTCAATTATAAAATACTTATCCATCTAATATTTCAAGATAGAGCTTCGACACGTACTATGTAACATATTACATATTATATATATATATATATATATATATATCTGGGTGGCAATTGGTAGGGCTGTAAACGAACCGAACGAACACGAACGAAGGCTTGTTCATGTTCGTTCGTTTAACTTAACCGAACAAACGAACGAACACGAACGGTAAACGAACGAAAATATTTGTGTTCGTGTTCGTTCGTTTAGAAATCAACTGTGTTCGTGTTCGTTTATGTTCGTTCGTTAACATGCTAAACGAACGAGCTAAACGAACATAAATGAACGGGTTAAACGAACATAAATAAATATTATTTGAATTCAAAGTAAATAAATAAAATATTTTATATTAAATTTAATAT